CCCCCCCCCCGGCGGAGGGCCTCCCCCCCCCCCCCCGCCTCTTTTAAGGAATTTTAAGGCATAATTAATAACCACCGCCCTCCTGTGAAGGAAGGTTTAACTGTGCATGTCTCTAGCCCCTCAATCTCTGGTTTCAAACCTCTCATCCATTTTATCCTGCCGTTGGGAATCTTACGCATACTGTGGGTGAAATAGCAGGAACTCAGTGTCACAGGCAGGAGCTGCAGACCAGGATCTGATGCAGATACACTTTTTAAATTTTTTTTTAATTTTTTTTTTTTGTTGGGGGGGGCGACGACGACGCATTTTTAATGCTACAGTGAACAAGACATGCGTTTTTTACACTGAAATCCGCACACCACCACCACTCCACACAGACAGGGTGACTTTCCATAGAGTATTAATTTTAAACTAAGGAATTTCTTTTACCCCTTCCCCTCCTCACGGAAGTGTGAGCCCAGGGCAAATCTTACCAGACACCTTACTATGTTTCTATGGCTTTATTTGAGCTGAAACAGCACCCAAGTCAAAAAGAAAAAAAATATATATATATATAATTGAAAAAAAAATGTTTATTTCCATAAGTAAGTTAGGACATGGAGTAGAAAGGAATTATAGTTTTCCTTCTTTAAGGGTTCACTTGGGGCTATAATGTGCCATTGATTTTAAAGCACAGGTCCTTTCACTTACTTAATGAGAAGTTCTGCTTAAAAAAAAACCAACCTGAAGGCCTTATCTGGCCTTGGATTTTCATGTATTGGTTGTGAGGGGCAAATGTTCCTCCGCAGCTTCTGAAGCTGGAGCCAGCGCTCACCTGCGGCTCCGTTTGCTTGCCAGAGAGGGACAAATGCCCACCTGGGTCGCCGCTTGCTTCACCTGAGGAGCAAAGGTTCCAGAGAAGGTGCCGTTCACCACATGGGCCCCTTCTTGCTCCTGTTTACGCCGAGGGGTGCCAGGCTCCAACACGGTTGGTATGCAGGTCTTCTCCTGGGCCCTCCTGTGTGGAAAACACCTCAAGTGTTTACAAACACTGTGCACACCGTGGGGAGAGGGGGGAGCAGTCTCCAGTGCTACTGCTGGACACTGCCTGGCCAGGGTGAGGGCCGAGATCTTCGTCCTTCGTTAACGTTACACTTGGTGATCCATTCATCAATATACAGAAATACACAGGCACTTCAGCAGTCCTAAAAAGCACTTTGATTACAGGCCGTGGTGTCTCTAAGGGAAAGACGAAAAAAACCCCGACAAATTATGGAGCGAGTCAGAGTTCAGGCTCCTGCTGGGAAACCTTCCCGGGGCACCCTCTCCTTGGGCAAGCGCTGGGCCTGCTCCTCTGGGGAGTTTTAAGTCCCCCACGTCTCGAAATGAGGGGTTTCTGCTGCCCCCCCCACCCCCGCTGGGCCATCCGGGTCCACTTCCTGCCCTTGGAAACACCTCAGGCCGGGGGACTCGGGAAAGTTTTTCGAAAGTCCGAATCCGCCAGTGCCCCCTTCAGTTGTTGTTTTCTCTCCCCTTGAACTCAGGGCGTTGGGTTTAGTCCAATTAAAAAATTCGGCCCCGCTTTCCAAATCCACCTTTCCTGCCCTCCCCCCCTCCCCCACCCCCC